TTCCAGGGATATTATAGATTTTTGAAACAAAATATTTCTTGGAATTTGGGCAGGAGAAGAAAGCTGAAACGTGCTTAGTCTGCCATCTTGAAACAACTTATTACCTTTTTAGTAATAAAAGTAAATGGAATAATTTTAAACCTTATTGTGTTAGCTGCCAGAACATTCCCTCTGTCTCTCCCTCCTTACATATGTGCATATGTATACACACAGACATATATATAGACATATATACGATATGTATAAAAAATATACTATTTAATAAATCTATGTTTTTAGAAGAAAGAAATAGACTCGAGATGCAACCTTTGAGGTTTTAGTTGACCTAACATTTTCATGACAGCAATGGTGGTTGAACAGTGGAATGAGTTTCTAAGGAATGAGTTTCTAAGGAATGTATCTCCAGAAACTTCGATTTATTTATTAATTGAGATAAAATTCACATAACACAAAATTAAAAATTTTAACTATTTAAACAGTAAAATTCAGTGTTTTTTAATATTCATAATGTTTTACAACTATCAGCACTATCTAATTCCAAAACGTTTCCATCATGCCCATCCCATCCACCAAAAAAAACCAAACCAAAACAAACAAAAAAACACCATATTTATTCTGCCTTTTTTTCTTTTTTCACCTAATTGCTCAGGCTAGAACTTCCAATACAGTCTTGAATATAAGTAGTGAGAGCAGACTTCCTTGTCTTGTTCCCAATTTCAAAGGAAAAGTTTCTAGTCTCTCATCATTATTAAGATGTTGCAAGTTTTTCACAGATGCCCTTTTAGGGCTGATAAAGTTTTTAATCACAAAAAGGTGTTGAATTCTGTCAAATGCTTTCTCTGCATTAACTGACAATTTTTTTTAAAAAAATTAAATGGAATGTATTGCATTGATTGATTTGCATATGTTGAACTGCCCTTGCTTTCTTGGGTTCAGTTTCACTTGTTCATGGTATATAATTTTTTAATATGCCGCTGTATTGTTTGCTAATATTTTGTTGAGAATTTTTATATTTATATTTACAAGGAATATTGGTCTATAGTTTTCTTTTTTTGCATGTGATGTCTTTGTCTAGTGTTATCAGTGTAAAACTGGCTTCACAGAAGCCAGTTAGGAGGTGTTTTCTCCTGTTTTCTGGAAGAGTTTGAAAAGAATGAGTATTAATTATTCTCTAAATGTTTAGCAGAATTTGCCAGTGAAGTAATGTAGTCCTAGGTTTTTCTTTGTTGGAGATTTTTGACTGCTAATTTAATATTTTGTTATAGATCTATCCAGATTTTCTGTTTCTTCTTCAGTCAGGTTTGGTACTTTGTGTGTTTCTAGGACTTTGTCAATTTCATGAAAGTAATCTAATTTCAATAAACAATTGTTGGAGTATAATCGTTAGTAATATTCTTTTATAATCCTTTTTATTCCTATAAAGCAAATAGTAATAGCATTTTCATTTCTAATTTTAGTCTTCTTGTTTTCCTTGGTCAGTCTAACTAAAAATTTGTCAATTTATTTATTATTGCAAACAATGACCTTTTTAGTTATTTTTTATTGTAGTAAAATATACATAACAAAAATTACCATTTTAATCATTTTTAAGTGTACAATTCTCTAGTAGTAAGTACATTCACATTATAGTGCAACTGTTACCACCATCCATTTCCAGAACTTTTTCATCTTGCAAAACTGAAACTTTGAACTATTAAACACTAACTGCATATAACCTCCTTCCAGCCCCTGCCAACCACTGTTTTACTTTCTATCTCTACAGATTTGAGTAATCTGAGCACCTCATATAAATAGAATTATATAATATTTGACCTTTTGTAACTGGCTTACTTCACTTAGTATAATTTCTTCAAGGTTCACTCATACTGTAGCATTTCTCAGAATTGTCTTCCTTTTTAGAAATTGATTGATTCTAGAAATATACATTCTTCCAAGACTGAATTGGGAAGAAACAGAAAATCTGAAAAGACCAATAACTACTAACAGAATTAAACCAGTAATAAAAAAATTACCTCAAAACAAGTGTCCTGAGCCAGATTACTTCACACATGAATTTTGTCAAACATCCAAAGGAGAATTAATACCTATCTTTCTTACACTGTTCCAAAAAATTCAACAGGAGGGAAGGCTCCCAAACTCATTTTGCGAGGCTAGCATTGCCCGATACCAAAACCAGACAAAGATATTACAAAAAAGAAGATTATTATAGTCAATATTCCTGATGAACATAGATGCAAAAATCCTCAACAAAATATTAGCAAGCCAAATTCAGCAATATATTAAAAAGTTCATACACCATGACCAAGTGGGATTTATTGTTAGGCTGCAATTCTGGTTCAATAGCCACAAATCAATTAATGTTATACACCATATAAACAAAATCAAAGATAAAAATCATATGATCATATCATTAGATGCAGAAAAAGCATTTGACAAAAATCCAACATCTATTTATGATAAAAACTCTCAGCAAAGTGGTGATGGAACATACCTCAACATAATTAAAGACATATATGACAGACCTACAGCTAATATCATGTACTCAATGGTGAAAAGCTAAATGCTTTTCTTTTAAGATCAAGAACAAAAAAGGATGCCTACTTTAACTACTTTTATTCAATGTAGTATTGGAAGTTATAGCCACAGCAATCAGACAAGAAAAAGAAATAAAAGCATTTAAATTGGAAAGGAAGAAGTAGAACTATCATGATTTGCAGATGATATGATAGCATAAATAGAGAATGTTAATGATTGCACCAAAAAAACTGTTAGAATCGATCAATAAATTCAGTAAAATAGCAGGATATAAAATTATTCAGAAATCAGTTGCATTTTTATAATGCAATAATGAATTATCTGGAAGAGAAATTAAGAAAACAATCCCATTTACAATTGCATCAAAAAAAAAACCTGGGAATAAATTTAACCAAGTAGGTAAAAAACCTGTACTCAGAAAATTATGAGACACTGAAGAAAGAAATTAAAGAAGATACAAAAAAAAAAAAAAAGAGGAGGAAAGAATATACTGTGCTCACGGATTGGAAGAATTAACATTGTCAAAATGTTCATACTACCCAAAGCAATCTATAGATTCAATGCAATTCTTACCAAATTTATCATTTTCACTGAACTAGAACAAATAATCCTAAAATTTATATGGAACCACAAAAGACCCACAGCAATCTTAAGAAAGAAGAACAAAGTTAGTGGTATCACACTACCTGATATCAAACAATACTGCAAGGCTATTGTAATCCAAACAGCATGGCACTGACAAAAAGAGACACATAGATCAATGAAACAGAATAGAGAGCCCAGAAATAAACCCATGTGTATATGGCCAATTAATCTATGACAAAAGGGACAAAACATACAACGGGTTAAGACAGTTTCTTTAATAAATGGTGTCGGGAAACTAGACAGACACATGCAAAACCAAAATGAAACTAGATCACTTTCTTACACCATATACAAAAATAAAGTCAAAATGAATTAAAGACCTGAAGCCATAAAACTCCTAGAAGAAAACATAG